CCCATCCCTCTGTCTCTTCTGTTACATTCCCTCTCTCTGTGACATTCCCCCTCTCTCTGTTACCCTGCTCCGTCTCTGCCTGTGACATTCCCCTGCCTGATTGACATTCCTCCCTCTGCATGTGCAACAAGCCCCTCTCGATGTGACAACGGCAGCCTGTCCGCATGCAGCTCACCTGTGCCACTGGTCCATTGATAGCGAGCGGAGTGCTGGCGGAAGAGCATCTATTGGTGACAGTCTCCCGGTGACAGTCACTCCGTATGCTGCCCCTTGGAGTGTTATTTGCCCCCGGGTGTCCCCTCGCCCGCAACGATGCCTTTTCACCCGGTAACGGCGGCGTTGATGTACCGGGGGGTGTACACCATCCCCGAATTACTAAGAGAGCACTCACCCACTCAGCTGCCCGAAGACGAGATAGAGGGTAAGTGAAGCCTCACTGTGGGGTTATCAAATGCAGACTGGAGGGATGCTGGGGTGAGGGGGGGGGATCCTACAGGTGAATAGGGGAGAGATCAGTCAAGAAACAGCCTGTGATTCTGCTATTAAGAAATGGAGGTGACAACTGTGTTATATATTTAGATCTGTCTAGATCTCAGTCTGTCTGTCTGTTTGTTTGTCTGAGCATGCGATCTCTCTGCTTGACCCCCCTTTATTCAGCCGGTGACCCCCCCTCCCCATCACCAATCTGTCAATGGAGCTAATAGAAAAGCCCTTGAAAGCCTTTGGTGTCAGCGTGTGATGCTGATAAAGGCTGCACAATGTGTCTGTCGGAGTGTTTGGCATATAAGGAGGCAGCTCCTGCATTTCATTCATAGACTTGTTGTACTGAGTAGATAGTAATTGGTGTAAAGCAGGTGTCACCCAATGTGATGAGAGCAAGACAGTACTCTTCTCATTGTGCCAGGGATTCAGAGAACTGACCACACATACATGATGCCACCCTTGTCTCCAATCCCTGGCAGTGGCAGCTGGGAAGCAGCAGGTCCAGTGTGTTGTTCAGTTCATACAAGTGGTTTACAATAGATATGTAACCCTGCAAAAAATGTGTTTCTTTTCAGATCGTTTCGAAATTCGCTTCGATATTCGTTATTTAGATTTCAGTTTTTCGTTTCGGATCAATCCAAATTTTTCGTTTTTCGTTTCAGATCTAATGGAATTATTCGGATGGGGTTCTTTAATTAAAAATTAACTTAATTATTATTTTTTCTTTTTTTTTAAATCATTTAGTTCTGGACTAACCCACTTAGTCCGTACTGGTCCTCTTAGTCTGTACTGGTCATTTTAGTCCATACTGGTCCTCTTAGACTGTACTGGTTATCTCAGGCCGTACTGGTCATTTTAGTCTGTACTGTTCATCTTAGTCCGTACTGTTCATCTTAATCCATACTGGTCCTCTTAGTCCGTACTGGCCATCTTATTCCGTACTGGTCACTTCAATCCATACTGGTCATCTTAGTCCACACTGGTCATTTTAATCCGTATTGGTCATCTTAGGCCATACCGATTAAGTTTCATTTTGAATGAAATTCGTACAATGGAAATTCAGATTAGTTCAAATTCGTATGCGTTCTAATTCACAAATATGGATGCATCTGAATTTCCGAATTTAACATATTTAGTCCGAATTTCAATTAGGAACGAATCAAAATTTCCATGTCTAGTTTACAATAGACCACTTCCATATGTTTTACTGCCATGGCTCTTCTGCCTGGCTGGAAGCTTTTTACCTAAACAGCTCCTATTTTAAGTAAACTTTACACGCTAGTGGACTTTGCAAGTCTCCTTGTGTAAACTACATTTTTGCTATTTTTTAGGATACCTTAGCAGCTTATAGCAGGATGCGAGGTTTTAGACCTCTTCTGTATGATTAAACAACAACAACAACAAAAAAATGGTAATATAAATCTTTAAAGCTTATCTTCAGGTAAAAATGCTGCCCTTGCAGTGTGGCTACCCCTGTACTGAAAGGGTTAATTGCTTGGTTTTGCCTAAAAGGCCTTTGTAAAGGACAATGATCCCTGCTTCCGCGGACTCCAAGCCTCATCCTTTCTGCGCTCTGGCAGTCATAGGCCCAGTGACATCATCATGTATAATGAAGGGTCTATAGCCATGCATTATACGTGAGGACGCCAAGGGACAGTCACAAGCTGAAGCAGAGAAGGGATGAGATAAGTGCCGACTGCTGGGTAAGCGGGGATCAGGTAAGCCTTTGCCCCGGGGGTGCCCATTAAGTCGATCACACTAGAGCTAAGGCTGGTAGATCGCAATCGCAAGTCAGCTCGCTGTCCTGAGCTCCTTCCCACAGTGCTAGTGTGGCCGAATGTGTCCGACTCTGCAGGCGGGACAGGACAGCGGACGTAAAGAGCTGGGAAGCAGGTAAAAAGCTGCAGAAGATTTTGCAGTGCCTCTGAAAGGAAAGACAGCCAGGGGAGAGAGCGAGGAGAGACAGCCAGGAGGGAGGGAGGAGAAAGAGCCAGGGGAGAGAACAAGGAGAGACAACCAGGAGAGAGAGCCAGGAGAGACAGCCAGGGGAGAGAATGAGGAAAGACAGCCAGGAGAGTGAGCGAGGAGAGACGACCAGAAGAGACAGCCAGGAGAGAGAGTGAGGAGAGACAGCCAGGAGAGAGAGCGAGGAGAGACAGCCAGGAGAGAGAGCGAGGAGAGACAGCCAGGAGAGAGAGTGAGGAGAGACAGCCAGGAGAGTGAGCGAGGAGAGACGACCAGAAGAGACAGACAGGAGAGAGGGAGAGGAGATACAGCCAGGAGAGAGTCCAATGAAAGACAGCCAGAAGAGAGAGTGAGGAGAGACAGCTGACGAGAAACAGCCAGGGGAGAGAGAGGAGAGACAGCCAGGAGAGAGAGCAAGGAGAGACAGCCAGGAGAAACAGCCAGGAGAAACAGCCAGGAGAAAGAGAGAAGAGACAGCCAGGGGAGAGAGCAAGGAGAGACATCAGGAGAGAGAAGAGACGGCCAGGAGAGAGAGTAAGGAGAGATAGCGAGGCGTAACATCTTCTGTCCCTGCTCTTGCTTCCTTGCCAGCCAGGGAACAGAGAGCGAGGAAAGACAGCCAGGAGAGATAGAGAGGAGTGACATCTTGTGCCCCGGTACTTGTTCCCCTGCCAGCCAGGGCAGAGAGAGCGTGAACAGACAGCAAGGAGAGAGAGTAAGGAGAGATAGCCAGGGAAGGGAGTGAGGAGAGACAACCAGGAGAGAGAGCGTGGAGAGATAGCAAGGAGAGACAGCCAGGTGAGAGAGTGTGAGGAGAGATAGTTAGGAGAGACAGCCAGGAGAGAGAGCGAGGAGAGACAGCCAGGAGAGAGAGCGAGGAGAGACAGCCAGGACAGAGCGAGGACAGATAGCCAGGAGAGAGAGTGTAAAGGAGAGATAGTAAGGAGAGACAGCTAGGAGAGAACGAAGAGAGACAGCCAGGAGAGAGAGTGTGGAGACATAGTGAGGAAAGATATCTTGTGTCCCTGTACTCCTGTACCTCCCACAATCCTGGCTCTCAGTGTATAAATGTAGGAGAGAGAGAAAATTCATTGGAAATGTAGTACGAACTGTCAAAGCCCAGGTTTTTTTTTCCTTGGTAGATCTCATTGAGCTCGTCATTTGAAAAGTAGATCTTAACAGTACTTTTGTCGTAAGAAGTTGTGGGCACCCCTGCTTTACACCATACTCATAAATGTGCAGATAATTTTTTTACCTGGAGATAGGTTTTAATTATGGTGATAGTATAAGATAGGATTAGCCAGTTCTCCTTAAAAACAAAGCTGGCATTTAAGTTTTGAGTGTTTCTCTAGTTACCATCAATGAAACTGGCTCCTCCAAAAATCCTGCTGGCTACTGTATTGGACAAACTGGCTCCTGAATGTCATATTCATTTGTACATCCCTGAAGGGCAGTAGTAAAGGGTCCAAGGTCACCCAGATTCAGGGGCCCAATTATCCACTCATTTAGGGTAACCCTAGGGAGTGGGGAGTGAGCACTTATGGACTATCAGAAGTGCTCATTATCACACAACTTATTGAACAATTTTGTGCGTCAGGGCAAGGGATAAAATAACGATGTGGTTGTTGCTTCTGCACGTCTACAGAACCTTAAAGTATGAATGTGATTGATGGCGCTCATATCTCTGGTCCATAGAGGCAGGCCTTTTTACACAAAGGTAAATGTCTTCCCTACTTTAAGCATGACCGATGACAGCCAGATAAGCAAACACAAACACCTGTTATGATTGATGTGCTGTCCGTACTTACAGTATTATGTTAGGTGGATTTTTTTGGGTTGGTTACCTCCAAATCCTTTCAAAATGAACAAAATAAGACTTGAAATGTATAGAGGGAGCATAGCCTACCTTCCCTGGTTTTCTGTTTCTTAACCAGTGTGGCTGTAATCTATTAGCCCAGTCCAGTCCCTTTTACCTTTAAGAGGGATTTCTAGTACCAACCGTTGTAGGCTGCTTGTTGTCTATTAAATACAGAAAGCATCATGTAGCAAATTGTTAGAACTAAGAAGTGGAGTTACTTCCTCAAAGTCACCAATCAGATAAAACCCCACAACAACGTTTGAATCTGGTGGCAGTGAAGAACCAATTCCATTTCCTAGTACTAATGCCTTGATAATGAAACAGGGAGTAGTGACATTGCAAAATGCAACCTCAGGAAGCAGGCCCACCCACCCCTAATTTGAGAAGCTCTCTGGAATCTGGCTGCGGTGTGAAATACATATAACAAGATTGTTATATTGATTTCGCTTGTTCCACGTACAGACAGACCTCTAAAAAAGAACAGTCATTCTCCCATCTCGAGTGCATATATATATATATATTTTTCATTGCCATAATAGAATATGAATCACACCTGATGTTTACAGTTACTGTTAGAGATTAAGGTGAGGTTAATAGTTAGTTTATCATTTAGGTTGTGATTAAATCTGAAGGTCAGGCAGATGTAAAACACACAAATTAATGCAGCTCTGTAATCAATAATACAACATTAACAGGGTTATTCACAAAAGGGTGAAGAGTTTGGAGAAGGCAGGAGAAGTGAATAATCTAGGACAACATAGCTGAACTGGAAAGTGAGCGGAATTGGAGAATTGTTTCCACAACAGATATGTTGTCTTAGATTGTTCACTTCTCCCACCTTCTCCAAACTCTTCACCTTTTTGTGAATAACCTTGTACATGTATTTTGTAAATGCAAGCAGTGTAAGTACCTGAATGTGACCTGGTTGCAGTCCTTGTACAGCAGAGGTGCAGTGCAAGAGGCAGAAGCAGCACACAGAACCAATCATTTCACGCGCTGACAAGAATCAGGCTGATCGGAGGAGAGGGCAGTGTGATAGAGAAATCGGCTCATCATTATGCAGCTTTTCTTTTCACTGTCAAGTCAACCATGGGTTCAGAGTAAAGGGATTACCA